TATCACACATGACTGTCATGGGTCACGGCAATGTCTCTCTAGATATTGCCAGACTGTTACTCTCCTCTCCCCAACGACTCGCACCCCTAGACATTCCACAACGGGCACTAGATGTCATGTCCTCGTCCACAATAAAGCACATCTCTATCGCATCACGAAGAGGACCGGCACAAGTAGCCTTTACAGCCAAGGAGCTGAGAGAGCTACTGAACCTACCGGACGTAGCCATGATCCCAATCGCTTCGGAATTACTGGCGACGCCAGAAGGAGCTAGCAGGCAACAGTCTCGAATTCTCGACCTGTTGAGAAAGGGTTCTGTCGCCAAACCGGAGACAGCAAAGAAAACTTGGTCGCTCGAGTTTTTCCGCTCTCCTGCAAAGTTGATCGAGAATGGGGTAGAATTCAATATCAACACGCTCGATGAGGAGGAAAGAGCAGTTCCAACTGGACTCACAGAGCATGTGAAAACTGATCTTATGGTGAATAGTGTCGGGTATAGGTCAGAGCCTCTTGAACCAGATTGGTTCAATGGTGCCTTGGGCCGTGTCCGACAGAGCGGGTCGCGAGGGCAATACGAACGGGAGGGAAGCCCCGTACGCGAGCACTATATGCGAATAGTGACGTCGTATCGATTCGATGGGTAATTGTACAGTATTGGGGAACGATGGGACCGACCCAACATTCACATTCCCAAAAAATTTGAAGCGAGGGTCTTGTGCTGTGTCATCAAACTTGTGCGTGCAGTTCTATTCCAAAAAGGGCCCTCTTGTCTGAGACTCAGGAGCGAATTTGTCAGATTCAAATATTGCTTACTTTTACTTCTGGGTGATCAGGAGCAACACCGTAGCGCACCAGTCCGTGAGGAGCCCACAGTCGGTCGAACATATGCACCTCGACATCTTTTCCTCTTGGGCCCGCAATAGGCAATTTTGAGAGAATTCTTGAAGCGCAATAAAATGCAGAGGGACCGCCTCCTACGATTGCGATTTTTAGCTTCATTGAATGAGATGGGACTGACCCGGTCGAGGTGACTGTAAGCGGCCAGGCGACATCCATGGGTTGGAACCCAGCTTGCTCCATAGTTTGGAGTTGACCACTTTTGCACTCG